TTCTACCATCAAAAAAGGGGCCCCGACTGTCAAGCAGGCAGTTGAAACCTCATGGTGTTGTCTGCTGGGAAGCCCTTTCCAGCTCACCATCGGCCCCGCACTCCTTCGGCGCATGAACTCCCCAGAGCACATCACAGGGCGGTGCCAGGGTGGTGAGGCGGCACTTCTCTGGCACCAGCTCTATGCGTGCCTGGCCCTTCATCATCCAGGAATGCTGATTTCTCCTCCTGAGGGGGAGGGGCTGACTTTGGGCCCTGTCCGGAGGGGAGGATGTGCAACGGGGTGTATATACCCAACACTGGTTGGGGGGGGGGACACAATCACGTTGGGCAGAGGAGCCCCCCTCAGCCCCACCCTAGTTTTGCATCCTCTTAGTGGAGGAGGCGGCTCCAAGCAACAGGCCGGTTCAGACAGGGTCGGCCGAGGAGCAGAACGTGCGCTGCTGGGGAAGAACCGTCTGCTCACCGGACGGCTGAAGAGGGAATCTCAGCCTATGCCACCAAGGCCCCCCGGCCCCGGAGTCTGTGCAGAGAGGCCAAGCTGCTGCCCGGGGTGGGGAGGACGAGCCCTTGGGAGGCTCGAGGGTAGGACGTGTCGCTGGGAATGGGCTGAGAGCCAACATGGGAATCCTTCACCAGGAGGCGACCGGTGTCCAAGGCCCTGGGTCGGAACCAGAGCTCGATTTGTGATGAGAGGCGCCGAGGCTCCAGCAATTAGGTGCTGGGGCCAAGCAATGGTTTTGTTTTCATACAAATTCTGGGGCGGGGGCTAGGAACAGCCAGACCCAGAGGGGCCAGGGCTAGGAACAGCCAGGCCTGGAGGTGTTGGAGGCTCTGAATTGCCAGACCCAGAGGGGCCAGGGCTAGGAACGGCCAGGCCCGCGGTGTGGGGGCTCAGCTGCGCCAAGCCCAGCCCAAATTAAGCTTGGGTTAGAAGCCAGTGGAGTATTCTACCCCCACCCAGCCCCAGCCACTCCATGAGGGATGTTAAATGTAGACGAATTAACTAATCGAATAGTCCGTGGGATTTCCATCGACTCTTTGATTAGTCGATAAGGGTGTCCTGCCGGGCTCTTGCTACAGTTCAAAAGCAGAAGTCCCACAGGGAGCGTGGGGCCGGCCGGGGTCTCCCCCACGGGCCCTGCACTCCCTGCGGGGCTTCTGCTTTTGAAACGTGAAAGAGCCCTGGCAGAAGTGGCCTCTACCCCCCCTGCCGCCCGCAGAGATGGTGCTGGGGGGAACCAGCTTTTAAGCCGGCTTTCCCCCCCCCCCCTGCCGGCCCCAGCACGGGGGAGGGGGAAACGACTAGTCGCATCACTAGTCGACTGTCCAATAAGCTGCTGCTTATCAGATAATCAACTCGTCGACTAGTCGCTTCCATCCCTACACTCCACTAGGCATTACTGCCGGGGATCATTGATCTGCACTGCTCCGCCTTGTCCCCAGGGCTGGACCGCCAGCCCACCAGCCTAGCCAGGAGGCTCAGGGTTATACATTTGTCCTGCCAGGTGGGCTGGGAGCAAAGGTCCAGCAGGCAAACAAGGGCAGCTCTGAGGACTTTTTGCCACCTGGTGGCCCTATAAGAAGAGGCGCCTCAGTGGGCCGTGTCTGGTCCGATGTCGTGCCATAAAAATGGGGCAACAACTTCGTCATACAGTGCCCTGTGACAGCCCCTGAGAGCAACTGGGCATGGGGGGGAGGAGCAAGGGTCTGCAACAGTGTATGTGTGTGTCTGTGTGTGCGCGTGCGTGAGTGTACATGCTGGGTGTATGTATGTGTGTGTTTGTGTTGTGTGTATGGGTATGTGTGTTCTGTGTGCATGTGCCAGTGTGTGTGCGTGTGTGTGTGCATGTTGTGTATGTATGTATGTGTGTGTTATAGGTGCATATATAAATGTGTGTGTGTGCATATCATGTGGATGAGTGCGTGTGAGTGCTGTAGGCGCCTGTTGTGTGTGTGCTGTGTGTGCAGCTTGTGTATGTATAAGTGTGTGTGCCTGTCATGTGCATGAGTGTGTGAATGCGTGTTGTGTGTGCTGTGTGCATGCCATGTGAGTGAGTGCCGTGTGTGCATGCTGTCTGGGTGTGCCTGTCGTGTGTGTATGACTGCGTGCATGTCTGCTGGGTGTGCGTGTTGTCTCTGTGCTGGGTGTGCGTGTTGTCTCTGTGCTGGGTGTGCGTGTGTGTGTGCTGGGTGTGCGTGTTGCCTCTGTGTGCTGGCTAAGTGCTCATTCCAACATCTGTTTCCTGAAAGGGGGCAGAGGGGGGCGGAGCAGGGGAGAGGGACGAGGGGAGAGGAGGGGGAGGAGAGGAAGTGCCTTGGAGTGTCCCGGCAGGGCTGTCATGCTGCTGACGGTCTAGTGCCAGCAGCCCCGCTCCTGAGCTGGTGACCTAAGGTGAGTCTCCCCATTCACCTGCTCTGCCAGGCCACCCCCCAGCCGGCCAGAGATTTGTGGGGGGAGGGGCCAGCACAGGGAGGCCCCTGGCTAGCCGGCCAGCCAGATGGGCTGTCATTGTCCCTTCTGCTGCTCCACTGCTTGGCACCCTCCAGCCACCTCCCCAGCTCTCCCAGACAGGCACCTGGGGAGCACAGGGCTGGGAGGCGCAGGGGCAGGCGAGGCTATGGGAACTCAGGCTGTGTCTACACTCCAGACCTTCTAGTGGCACAGGGCCAGCTGCAAACGTCTCCCGCGTAGCCGTGCTCTGCCTGTGGGAGAGTGTCGGAATGACACCCATGGAGCGGCGGTAGCGATGTCACCCGGACAGTGTCTTCTGCTGTTTGTGCTGTTCACACCGGCACTTTGCTGGTGAAATGGATGTCGATCGGGGGGTGCGTGTGTGTGTTTGGTTAGGGCCACAAAAGTTGTGTGGACCAAAGTGCTAGTGCAGACATAGCCTAAGAGAAAACAGATGCACCGTGTAGGGGGAGGGGTGGGTGGCTCTGGCTCCTACTAAGAATAAGTGACTCAGATCGGGGGTGTGGAGTGTGGGGAGATAAAAGGGGCGAGAGCTGGAGGCGTTACAGCTCAGGAATAGGCCAGATAAGTGGGGATGGGGCCAGTGAGAGGGGAGAACTGAGAAAGAAAGAAAGAAAGAAAGTGTTGTGCAGGGGATAGATAGATATGGTGTAAGCAGATAGATTCATAGATGTGTGTGTATGAGGCTGGGTGGATGCATGGCTACATGGTGTGTTGCACGTGGATGAATGCCTAGGTGCGGTGTTGCAGAAGGACAGATAGAGTGGGGTGTTGCGGGCGGATGGCTAGGCGGGGTGTTGCAGAAGGACAGGTACAGTGGGGTGTTGCGGGCGGATGGCTAGGCGGGGTGTTGCAGAAGGACAGGTACAGTGGGGTGTTGCAGGCAGATGGCTAGGTGGGGTGTTGCAGAAGGACAGTTACAGTGGTGTTTTGCAGGCGGATGGCTAGGCGGGGTGTTGCAGAAGGACAGGTACAGTGGTGTGTTGCGGGCAGATGGCTAGGCGGGGTGCTGCAGAAGGACAGGTACAGTGGGGTGTTGCGGGCGGATGGCTAGGCGGGGTGTTGCAGAAGGACAGGTACAGTGGGGTTTTGCGGGCGGACGGCTAGGCGGGGTGTTGCAGAAGGACAGGTACAGTGGGGTGTTGCAGGCAGATGGCTAGGTGGGGTGTTGCAGAAGGACAGGTACAGTGGGGTGTTGCGGGCGGATGGCTAGGCGGGGTGCATGCAGATAGCTCGTTGCCAGTTGTGCATGGAGCAGGAAGGGAGCCATTCTGTGGAGGGAGGCTGTGGTGATGGGAGGTGGGGGCACTGTGGTGTTTGTACGTGAGCCGGACAGTGGGAGCGACGCTGAGGGAGAGCTGTATTGCAGGTGGGGCAGGGCAGTTTGGCTGCTGGCCTTGGTCAGTTCCTTGGGGCTGTCATGCTCCCAGCCCCCACCCTGGGACACTGGTTGACCATGTGCCTCAGGCAGGGCACATGGGGATGGGGCGGTTGGGAACGCAGACTCTCTGGCAGTGTCTGTTCTAGCTTGGAGCATGTGGCCGGGGGAGAAAGCAGCGATGCCTAGTGACCTGCCCAGGGAGGGGCGGCTGGCAGCCAGCTGTTCCCCACCCTGCCATTGCTCCCCCCGGTGCCTGGTGTGGTCTGGGCGTGTCTGCCCGTGCGGGAGGCTGCAGCTTGCAGGGAAAGCCGGTGTGTGTGCTGTGAGTTGTGTGAGCATTCACCCCGGGGGAGAACCGAGCTTACAGCAAACAAAGAATCCCGGATGCACACGCTGCATGGAGGTTGGGCTGCACAAGTGACATGTCGCACGTATGTTGCACGGGGTGGTGTTAGGCATGGCTGGTGTGCTACACTCACAGATTCCAACGCAGAAGGGACCCTTGTGATCAGTCGGTCTGACATCCTGGATATCACCAGCTGGAGACCTACCCCCAAAGTTTTCCCAGAGCAGAGCTGGGAGAAAGCCAGCCCCTCCTGCCTGAAAAACGTCAGCAATGGAGAATTCACTGCTGCTCTTGTTTGATAGACACTCTCGCTCTGCATTGCACAGCTGTTGAGTATACACAGGGAGTACAGTTGCCATGTTACACATGCGTGTGACATTGCACGCACATTTCACAAAGGAGGGTTGCATGTACTGCAGGGGGCGTGTCACACACACGGCCTGGTTGTCATCATGTCGCACATATCCCTGTGGCACATTGCACATACACTGCACGACTGTTGTGTGGCACACATGCTACACAGGACTTCATTGCGCAGGCGTGACACCTGACACGCACAGCCATCTTGTCGGACAAGTGTGAGAGTTCACATGCTGCATAGCAGCCACTCTGATACATGTGTGACACGAGACGGGTGCTGCACGGCTGTTGTGTCTGTCACACACATGACGCTGTGCAGCAGTTGTATCACACACATGCATGACACCTCCCACAATGCTGAACGGCACCACACACGTAGGCATGACTGCCCACAGGACGCATGGGCGCACGGGGCTCTGGCCTTCATTACCAGGCAGCCTGGCACGAGACAGTTCTTAGTTGTGCCTCAGTTTCCCCTTCAGGGAGTTGGGGAGCGCACTGGGGGAGGGGGAGCGCCTGGCGAGTGGCTTCTGGTCCTGCCATAGAAATGCAGATGATTATTTATAACTTCCCACCACCCACAGCTGAGAAGAACAGGCTTCAGTACAGCAACGTGCCATTACTGACTCACCAGTGCACCTCCAGCCTGGGGCCAGAGCTGGGGAAGGCTGTCACCTAGGGGCTGGGACTCTATCTATCTATCTATCTATCTATCCCCATACACCCTATCTATCTATCTATCTATCTATCCCCATACACCCTATCTATCTATCTATCTATCTATCCCCATACACCCTATCTATCTATCTATCTATCTATCCCCATACACCCTATCTATCTATCTATCTATCTATCCCCATACACCCTATCTATCTATCTATCTATCTATCCCCATACACCCTATCTATCTATCTATCTATCTATCCCCATACACCCTATCTATCTATCTATCTATCTATCCCCATACACCCTATCTATCTATCTATCTATCTATCCCCATACACCCTATCTATCTATCTATCTATCTATCCCCATACACCCTATCTATCTATCTATCTATCTATCCCCATACACCCTATCTATCTATCTATCTATCTATCCCCATACACCCTATCTATCTATCTATCTATCTATCCCCATACACCCTATCTATCTATCTATCTATCTATCCCCATACACCCTATCTATCTATCTATCTATCTATCCCCATACACCCTATCTATCTATCTATCTATCTATCCCCATACACCCTATCTATCTATCTATCTATCTATCCCCATACACCCTATCTATCTATCTATCTATCTATCCCCATACACCCTATCTATCTATCTATCTATCTATCCCCATACACCCTATCTATCTATCTATCTATCTATCCCCATACACCCTATCTATCTATCTATCTATCTATCCCCATACACCCTATCTATCTATCTATCTATCTATCCCCATACACCCTATCTATCTATCTATCTATCTATCCCCATACACCCTATCTATCTATCTATCTATCTATCCCCATACACCCTATCTATCTATCTATCTATCTATCCCCATACACCCTATCTATCTATCTATCTATCTATCTATCTATCTATCTATCTATCTATCTATCTATCTATCTCCATACACCCCCTCTATCCATCTATCTATATATCTTATTCCCATTTTCTCTCTCTCTCCTTCTCTCTCTGGGTATGTCTAGACTACATGCCTCTGCCGACAGAGGCATGTAAAATAGGCTACCCGACATAGTCAATGAAGCGGGCGGGTAGCCTATTTTACATGCCTCTGTCGGCAGAGGCATGTAGTCTAGAGACATACCCTCTCTGTCTACCATCAGAATACACGTCTCCTCCTACCCTGTGGTGTATATGCTGTGGTGTATATGCTGTGGTGTATGTGGTGTATATGCTGTGGTCAGACAACATGGCAGTGAGCCTCAGAAGAAGGGAGGAAGTTAGACGGGAAGACAGAGGAGTGGATAGGCTGGGGGGAGGCTAGATAGCGGTTGAGTGTGTGCAGGTTGGAAGGTGCAGATGGGACAAGCAAATAGAAGGCTGGAAAGGTAACTGGCAGTGTTCCCTGTAAGCTGAGGGCTTGTGCGGCCGCCCAGAAGAGATACAGGTGCCTCCCAGCTGGTGGTGCACATCTGCACATGCCTTAGGGCACATAACAATATTTATTCTGCACATGGACACATTGGTAGGGGGTGCCTGTGGCAGAGGCAGAGGGTGAGGCGATGGGTGGGTGGGTAGCAGGGCATCTCGTGACCCCTTACCTTGGGACTATGGAAAGATATTCCAGCCCCACCCTACTGTGCCCCTGCCCCTTTGAGTCGGCCCCGGGCTCTCCTGGCACCAACAGCTCATTTCCCGACGGGCCGCATGCTGATGGCGCTGGTGGTCGGTGTGTTCGTACCCTGTTGCTACATCACATGAGCTCCCAGCAGGGACCACAAACTGCACCCTATGGGCTGCCCTGCCTGGATCTTCCTGGTCACAGCCCTGCTGGCAGATTCAGGGGGGAAAATTGGTTGGGCTCTGAGGGATCTAGCACTTGGCTGCTGTTTCTATTTCAGAAGCACGCAGAGATCAGGGCCCTGTGGGATCGGGTGCTGCCCAGACACAATGAGAGACAGGCCCTGTCCCAGCTGAGATCAAGGCCCTGTGGGATCCAGTGCTGTCCAGACACAGCGAGAGACAGGCTCTGCCCGCAAAGGCCTCACATTCCCAATAGCCAAGGCAGATGGGGAAACTGAGGCACAGAGCAGCACCGTGACTTGCCATGGTCACCCAGCAGAGGCAGGGCTAGAACCCAGCCTCCTGA